CTGCAGCTGTATGGGAGTATGACTGGATGCCGTTCACTATATGCCAGATCAAGGGATGCACCAAGACGACCACCAGTTCTCAGCAAATCATCTTTATCAAGCAACGGATTTAGAGGAAGGATTTCACTTTTTGACTCAATGGATTCTCTAGCTTTAAGTTTAGCGCTCCGTAATGTTGCTTCTGAGCGAGTTTTATCAGACGTATAGTCGTTGTTTTAATTTCGTTTGACGAAATTAAAGAAGAGTTCGCCTGAAAAGAAGCTTTTGTCTTCGGACTGGTTCTTTGAAGGAATCTCAATAAATACGAGAGCACCCTCAAAGCTTTCGGTAAACTTGAAAACCGCTCAAGAATGTCACTAAGTTCGTTTGACGTTATTGTTGAATGAACGTGCAACCGTTTTTCCTCAATATTAGTAGTGAAGTCTATCTCTTGTAATGGCCAATTTTCTCTATTTTCTTGCAGCCAAGAAGGTCCTTGCCACCACAACGAATTTTGTACCAATTCATGCGCCAATATGCCCCTGCTTGCTAAGTCTGCTGGATTTGTGGCAGAGTCGACGTGCAACCAGTTAGAATTCCCTACCTTGTCTATTATTTTTGTAACTCGATGGGCAACGAATGTTGACCACGAACATGGGGGCTTACGTATCCATGCCAAAACAATCGTCGAATCTGTCCAAAGATGTATGTTTAGGTGGCCTAATTCCAGGCTATTTGTAATAGATTCGACTATTTCGGCTAGTATACCGCCCCGCAAAGTTCCAATCTAGGCAATGAAATTGTTTTCACTGGGGCTACTCGAGTTTTCGCTAACAGGAGGTTGACAAGTATTTTCTCGTCTCTTTCGACACGTAGGTAGACTGCGGCCGCGTATGCCTTTTCAGAAGCATCGCAGAATCCGTGAATTTCGACTTTTTCCTTTGGTGAAAAAAGATACCCACCGCGGTATCCTTATTTTGTCGATTTCTTTATAATTTTTTGTGAAATTGTGCCACCTATCTAAGGTTGGAACGGAGACCGTTTCGTCCCACTTTGTACCCTCCAACCATATATTCTGCATAAGTATTTTTGCAACTATTATTATTGGAGCTAGCCAACCCAACGGGTCGAATAGTTTGGCGATGGCTGACAATATCGCTCTTTTTTGTTGGCGTGATGTTATCGTCTATGGTCTTGGTTATGAAATAAAATTGGTCGGAATGCGCATTCCACCTGATACCTAATGCTTTTACACTGCTAGTGTCCTCGAATTCTAAAAAATCTTCGCTTAAAAGATGTGGTTTTGGTATGCCCTGTAGTATTTTGTCACAATTCGAGGTCCATTTTCACAAAGGGAATCCAGCTGATTTCAAAACTGTAGAAACCTCATCCCTAGCCTGTAACGTGGAGTTTATAGTATGTCCGCCCGCAAGAACATCATCGACATACATATTTTTCCGTAAAATATTCGAAGCTATCGGATGGGAATTTTCTGAATCATTAGCTAGCTGAAGTAATGTCCTTATCGCCAGATAAGGCGCACAGTTTATACCGAAAGTAACCATTTTTAATTCATAAAGACCGATTGGTTCGTTTAGACCCGTACGGAAGACTAATCTCTGGTACTTCCTCTAGTTGGCATCCATGAGAATTTGCCTGTACATCTTCTCAATATCGCTATTGAAGACGTACCTAAAAAGTCTCCACCGGAGAATCAAAATTGGTAAATCAGCTTGAAGAACTGGCCCTGGTAAAAGAACATCGTTCAAGCTGACCCCATTCGCTGAAGAAGTCGAAGCATTAAAAACCACCCGAACCTTTGTTGATATACTTTCTTCTTTTATCACGGCATGATGAGGCAGATAGTAATTGTCGATTGCATCGGCCGACTGAAGTGCATTGATTTTCGACATATGCCCCATTGTCTCGTACTCTAGTATGACCCTGTTGTATTCCGCATGCAAATCTGGATTTTTCTTGAGGCGTGTCTCGTTTTTGTAGAATTGCGAGCACGCTATTCTCAGTGATGGCCCCAATTTGGTATCAGCCGGGAACTCCGCTTTGAATGGAAGCGAAACGATATACCTTCCGTCTAGGTTCCGTTTGGTTGTACGCTTGTAGAGCTCCTCACACTGTGTTTCTTCGGTTGTTGGTGCTCTGTTTCTCGGCAAATCCTCCAGTTCCCAGAATAAGCATAACTGTCTATCAAGGGCAACCTCATTGTAAATTGAAACTCGATTATTGCTGGTTGGGCTGGCTGCATCAGCACGACCAGTCAGTATCCAACCGAATACTGTTTCTTGCGCTAAGAGAGTACTGAGAACGTTCTTCTTAATTCCACCTAATATTATTTGAGGATATATGTCTCCTCCAAGAACCAGATCGACTTGTTCATTCACAAAAAACCTTTTATCTGCCAAAACCAAATCAGGAAAAACTTGTTGTGTGAGTGCGCTAACATCACAAGTAGGCAAATTCCCTGTCAGATTTGGTAGAACTAACACAAGGGCATCAATAGAAATAAGTGGGTCAATTGGTGACCGCAATTGAATCGAACACGCTTCTTTCACCTGCGCTGAAACAGAATTATTGATGCCCGAAACCTGTGCTAACATCTTCTTGGTTGGCAAGTTGATTCTGCGTCTGAGCCTCTCCGTGATGAAGGAACACTCAGAGCCAGAGTCAATTAACGCTCTTGCCGCAAAGTTAGTACCATTAAAATGAATATTTACTCGAGCTGTCCCAAGTAAAACGCCTTTGCTTGAATTCGCGTGATGTGTTTGCACATGTCTGACTGCTTTACCTTTTCCCTTTGAAGATTGGTTTCGTAATTGTGCCTGCCTGAATGTCGATGCACCATTGTTAACTGGATTGGCTGTATTCTCCTTTGTCGTTGTTTTACCTGGAGCCACCTGTATATGAAGTAGGGTGTGATGTCGAGAATGGCAATTGGCACAG